AAAAATTTCAGGTGTACATCATTGTACTTCTATTTCTGCATGGACTCACCCCTGTGTTCATTGCAGCCTTATTCACAATAGCCAAGACTTTGCTTCTATTCTTTTGAAAAATTCTTTCATTGTAAGGTCTATATTTGTTTTACTTTGTTTTACATGTGTGTTTATTCCGACAACTTGGAAGCTTGTTCTAGGGTTCCGTTTATAACTAGAATTTTATGTAAAGTTCTAAAACTCTATGTTTTTAGACATTGTCTCTTAATTTCCTAGTGTAAACAGTGATGAAATTAGTATATTTCCTTTCCTCTCCCTTTTCTCTTTCTCCTATACTATATGATTTATTTGATTATGTTACCTTAATCTTTTCTTTTATACTGGTTTGTGTACTTATAACTCTGTTACATAATTTAGAAGATTTAAATGATATTTATAAAAAATCAATATATGGAAAATGTATAATTTACACAATAAGTCTGGAGATAAGGGTGGTTAATTTAGCACTTCAGGAAAATCATCAGGGAACCCTAGGTCTTTATGTTTTTTCTGCTTACTATCTGGAATGTTCTTTTTATTTTCAAATAGACTTCAGAGAAGTTTTAGATTCACAGCAAAACTGAGCAGGAGGTACAGGGATTTCCCATATGTCTTTTCCCCCCACGTATGCATAGCCTTCTGCATTATCAAGATCCCCCACCAGAGGCATGCATTTGTTACAATTGGTAAAGCTATATTGACACATCATTAGCATCGAAAGTCCATAGTTCACATTAGGGTTCACTCTTGGTGTGTACATGCTACATGTTTGGACAAATTTATAATGACTTATATCCACCATTATAGTATCATTCAGAGTAGTTTCACTGTGCGCAAAATCCTCTGTTGAATGATATCTTTTAACACTTAGCTATGGAATATGAGGAAATAAGCACATCTATCCTTCCTCCCATCTCATCTCTTCCTTTCTTTTAATTATAACCATTTTACCTTTTCAGATTTTTAAAACATTTACATTTTATTCTATACCTATAATTTCCACAAATGTTTTCGTCTTGGTCCTATACTGAAATACATTTACAACTGACCACCTGTTCATATCCTGTGGTTTTCCATTTTTGTCTTTATTGGCTGAGGTGTGTTTAAAAAAAAAAAACTTTTGTTTAAAAACCCTGGAGTCTGCTTTTTTCAAGAGTGGTTAATATTAATAATATTACTTGAAATCTTGCACTGCAAGATTAACCTTATACTTGAATAGTAGTCCAGATAGTTATAGTATTTTGGGATCACATTTTCTTTTCTTGCAAATATTGAAGGCACTTTTCCACTTTTCCATTATATCTCGGTTCTGAATGCTGATTTGAAGAAGTGAGAGGCCAGCTTAATTTCTTTTCTTTAAAATTGACATGACCTTTTTTGCTTGGCAACCAATTCTTTTTTTTTAAAACTTTGATATCCAGTAATATTACAGTGGCATGTAATAGTGCTGGAACTCTAGATATATGATTTTTCCTGGGACAAGGTAGGCCCTTGCAATCTGTAGATTCAAATACTCTCTTCTTTCTGGAAAATTTTTTGATCTGAAATTTACTGTCAAACAATTGTTCTTTCTCATTATTTTGATCTCCTTCTTTCACAATTCCAGTTGTACATATGTTGAATTTCCTTTTTTTCTGTCCCTACATCTATCATTTTCCGTCTTTTTCCATTTCATTTTGTTATCTTTTTAAATACTGGTCTTGTCTCTGTCTGAATTTTTCCCATTCTGCTGTTTCCAATTTTGTTTTTCTTTTTGTCATAATTTTACATTTCTTTTACATTTGTTCCTATCTTCTCCCAGCTTGTATTTTATGTCTTTCTTGCCATCGCTTTTCTCAGCTCTTGTATTTTTACTTTGTCCTCTTATCTCATAGAGGAAAATGCTTCCTTAAGCTTTTTCAGATTATGTTGAAATGTTTGATCACAATTTTCATCTGTTCCATGGCAACCATCTTACATGGAGTGAGTTTTATCTATTTGTTTTTCTTGGTTCTTTCCTTCCTTTTGTTTCTGGAATCCTTGTATAGATTCAGTGCTTGTTTGTTTTTGAATCCTTGAATGAAGTGAGTTTTTTTCTGAGTTAGCTATTTGCAGGAGACTTGTATCGAACAGGCTAAGCTCATGTTCCAGGCTGGCAGGAACTTACCTTATGATTCAAATTTAGGGGTGAGTTATTTTAGCTTGTTCTTGTCTTTAATCAATGTAGACAGATTGATTACTGTAGAACTCTTGTGAGTTATTTTCCTTATCTCTCACCTCTAGCTTCATGCTGTGTCTAAATCCTGCAAATACACTTGCCTGTGAGATTCTTCCTTGAGCCCTTCCTCTGCTTCTTGAATCCAACTCAGGATCACAGAAGGTAACTATGCTATACTATGCACCCTACTCCCATCATTGGAAACTAGGGCTTTTGATTTTTTTCCTTAGTGAGTGCTCTTTTCTATGGAGAATTGTAGTTGTCCAGCTTTTTCTACAGGAATGAATTTTCTCTCTCTGCCACTCTCCTATTTGATCTCCATTATTCTTGAAGCAATCTCATCTAGTTTGTGGATTAGAGTTTTGGATATTTTCTAGTTTCTTTGAAAATAGAATCTGTACTTTTATTCTTGTTCTGCATGTCTTGGGAAAGGATGAGTTTTGAGAAGATAAAGTTCCAAATTTACTCTGCCATGTTCAAACCAGAAGTACACTTTCTGGTTAATTATTTTCCCCAAGGGTTTTGTCATTCATAATCTGTACAAATAGATTCCTTCAGCTAGGTGAGAGAGAGAGGTTCAGAGTGGTGATATTACCTGTTCAGGCACTTGAGAATGAAGTAAAGCTATTGAGATAAATGTAGTGAAAGTTTCAACGTGAGTGATACAACCGGGGCAGTGGGAAAGTCCTTACTGAGAGAGGGGGAGTTTAGCAGAGGGCTCGGCATATAGAAGTTAGTTTATTTCTTCTTTTTGAACAAATATATTGAGAGGAATGATTCTTTATCTCCTTGGTTGTTTCCTTGCAGGAACTAATGCTGCCAAAATCTGGGGCCAATGGAACAGACATTACTGAATTCATCCTTCTGGGCTTGGCAGAGACACCAGAGCTGTGGCCAGTTGTCTTTGTACTCTTCCTCTTTGCCTACCTGGTCACAGTTGGGGGCAACCTCAGCGTCCTGGCAGCCATCTTGGTGGAGCCCAAACTCCATAACCCCATGTACTTCTTCCTGGGGAACCTATCAGTGCTGGATGTTGGGTGCATTACCGTCACTGTTCCCTCAATGTTGGGTCGTCTGTTGTCCCACAAGCATATAGTTCCGTATAGAGCCTGCCTCATACAGCTCTTCTTCTTCCATCTCCTGGTTGGGGTGGACTGCTTCCTGTTGACAGCCATGGCCTATGACAGATTCCTGGCCATCTGCCGGCCCCTCACTTATAGCACCTGCATGAGCCCGATGGTCCAAAGGTTGTTGGTGGTTGTGTCCTGGGCTTGTGCCTTCACCAATGCACTGACCCACACTGTAGCCATATCCACACTCAACTTCTGTGGCCCCAATGTGATCAATCGCTTCTACTGTGACCTCCCACAGCTCTTCCAGCTCTCCTGCTCCAGCACACAACTCAATGAGCTGCTGCTCTTTGCTGTTGGTTTCATAATGGCAGGCACCCCCATGGCTCTCACTGTCACTTCCTATGCCCATGTGGCAGCTGCAGTTCTACGAATCCGCTCAGTGGAGGGCAGGAAGAAAGCCTTCTCCACATGTGGCTCCCACCTCACTGTGGTTGCCGTATTCTATGGTTCAGGTATCTTTAACTACATGCGACTAGGTTCCACCAAGCTTTCAGATAAAGATAAAGCTGTTGGAATTTTTAACACTGTCATCAGTCCCATGCTGAATCCAATCATCTACAGCCTCAGGAATCCTGATGTGCAGGGTGCCCTCTGGCGAGTCCTCACAGGGAGACGGTCATTGGCTTGATGAGGTCTCAAGTGTCACTTCCTCCATCCTCCCTTTCTCTTTTTGGACAAAAAGAGAAATCCTCTGGGTTCAGCTACCAGAACAAATGGTCTAGAACTGCTACTATCTCCCTAAGCATGAGGATTTTGTAGGGGATAATAGTTATTGTTTCCCAAAGAAGCTCTGTTAATTATAAGCAATGTGTATGTAGGTTCTCCTAGGCCAGGCACCTTGACAAATTAAACTTCAGTCACTGTGTACTCTCTTTTCTGAGAAGACGTGAAACCTGGGAATCCCTGAATGCTCACAGCTTCATGTCCTACACGTTGGTTATATCCTGGGATCCCAAAAATATCCCAGCAAACTCCCGCTCCCAACCCCAGGGGGTCATAGGATTCTCTCAAGTTCATGTATGGTTGGTCAGTTTATAAAACATAGACCTGGAGCTCAGGATTATGTTATTTCTGCCATCAACCTTCTACAAGCCTAAAAAAGCAGCTCATTTCTTTCCTATCACACAATTATCCCACAGGATATAGAGGAGACAGATGGGAAGCTGTGTGGTCATGTACTCTCTAGTAACTCCAGAAAGCATGATCCCTGTGTGCAGCTCTCAGACCTGTTTTTAAATTTTAAAATTCCATTAACACATATGATATATCTTATGATACAAAAATGAATTGCCCTCACCTATCCTTCCTCATGTGTTTAAAATCCTTTAAAAGATAAGCGTTTATAACCTAAATCTCATTTCAACATTAAAACAAATCCAAAATACTCAATACTATATTCCCCTCTAAATTCTTACTCTCAGTCTCCAGATCTGCTAGCTAAGACAACCCATATCTGTAAAAATGAATCATAGGGTGATGCCTCACCCTAAATTTCCCTTATCAGTAGGAGAGTATGTCTCTAACCTAGAACATCATCTCATCTTGTTTGCTGCTTACCAGACTTTAGTCCACTCATGATTTAGCTGAATTTTCCTTCTAGCCTCCCTTTTAGGATTAATTGCCCATTCCTGGCATCTCTACTGTGCCACTGGTGTTTCCTGATTAATTTCTCTAAAACTTCCCTTTGGCCTGTAAGTGTGACTTGGCTTCTCCGTGATATTTTATGGAGTTGAACAGACTGACAAGATGGGGTATGATGGAGATGAAGAGAAAGGATGTGAGAGAGGGAAGCAAAACAAGATTGGAAGTGGGGAGTTTGTTGAAAAAATGAAGATGAAAGATGAAGAATAGGAGACATAAGATAGAAATGCAGGCAAAAGTGTTTGAGAAGGGAAGATAGAGGTATTGGAGAGGACCAGATGGAGTACAGAGAGAGATAGAGTGGGAGATGAGAGGGAATGGAGGAATTGGACAAGATGCCTTGAGACTGTTAAAAGACCAGAGGAGGAAGTAGTGTAATAAACTTAGTGGGTCAGGGATGAGAGATGCAGGCTTCTCTCAATGGTGGCAGTCCTAATGCCACCATTGTAGTCCATTCTCTTCACCAAGGATAAAGTAATATTTTAAGTTGTCCAAAAGTGTGCATTTCCTGCTTCTCTAGACAAAAGGTGCTCCTAGAATGTCAGGGACAATATTATTAGACGGGAAAAGAGAAGAAAAGGACTGCAGGGTATTTTATCCACCTACATCTCTAAAGGGTCATCAGAGTTTGTGCACTCAACTTGCCAACTTATTCCCTACCTTTTGGGTCATGCCTGCCAAGACTGTCAACAGACATAAGGAAAAGATGGCTCTTTCCGATCCCTTTTTAGTCACCAGACAAATTTCAGGGATACAAAGATCGAGCTTCCTCCAAGGGTTAAGAAAACCTGTTGAAGAAGACCCACAACATGGTTCTCACCTCATCACTTCCTCTCATCGACAACATTCTGGACATTGAGTAAGTTCTTTGCCTTCTCTGGGCCTGTCCTTGACAGAGGCACAAGGTAGTCATCAAGGTTCTTCCACCTCTCGTGTTTTCTGATTCTACTGTCTGAATGAACAGAAAGACTGTCTCACTCAGTTTACCCTGAAGAGTTACCACATCTTCCACCCTCACTTCTTCTATCCACCAGCATTAAACACTGCTGCAAACAGAGTTTATTGTTCACTTCCAAAAATCCCCGTGTCTCTGGCCCTTCTTCCATTTGGACACTCATTTGAAGCCTCAAGGGATGATTTTGTGTGGCATCATCCCTGGGGTGGAATGGATCAACTGGTTCAGCATCATAAAGAATGACCAAGGACACTGGTTCCCAGCACTCTGTCCACCCTCCAGTATCATAGGGTTTCTTTAACTACTTGAGAGATTTCCTTTCCTTTGGAATTTGTCTCTTCTTTTTCATTCCAGATTGGAAATTTCTTTGCTATTTAGAAATTTTACTATACATGTAATATATCATGTTGTAAAAGTTTCAAAGTAGTATGTTGTCATTGCCCTTTTGTGCCATTCCCACAATAATCCCATTTTTAAAAAGTAGCTATTGGTAATAGCTGGTGTTTAGTGTTTTAGTAAATGAACACACACACACACACACACATTCAAACAACATACTATTGTGTAATCTGCTTTTTCCCTGTGCACACTGCATGGTATAATTGTTTACATGTCAACCAAAAACCTATCTTATCCATTTTAAAGGCTGCATAATGTTCCATTTTATGTATAAACTATAATCTATTTAACTAAACTTCTATTGATATAATTCAAGTTATTTTCTTTTTTTAAATTGCTAATAATATTGGGACTACTATTATTATTTATATATCTTTTCATACTTCTGAAATTATTTTCACTGGTTAAATTCAAATAAATAATTTGTGTGTATGTGTGTGCACTCATACTAAGGAAATGCAAAGTTAAAATTGGTAAATATTCTGCCTTTCTATTTGCCAAAAAATGTTCACCCTTTTAAATCTTGATTGGCAGTTTATGAGAATATTTGTTACCTCACTTGTTGACTTCACTGGGTGTTATAAATAGAACTTTTTGTCTTTGATAATTAGATTAAATATTGTATTATTTTTAAATTTGTATTTCTTTACTTATTGTGGTTGGATATATATTTTTATATATTTATTTGTTATTTGTATTTATTCTTTCAAAATTACCTGTTTATGTTTTTGGTCCTTTGGGGGTAGTTTATCTTTGTCTTAATGATTGGTGGAAACACTTCATGTTTTAGGATAGTATCTATTTGCCATGTATGTTGCAAATATATTCTTTAATTTCCCATTTATTTAACTTTGTTTAGAGTGTCTTTTGCCCAGAGTACGTTTGACATTTTTATAAAGTTTTCCCTCTTTTTTGTGTGTCATGCTTATAAAAAATGACTTTCCCATCTCAATGCTCTATAAATTTTTATCAGTGATGTTTTTGTAGTACTCTTGCATTTCTTTTGCAGTCAAATCATTAACATATAAAGAATTTGTTTTTTTGTATGTTCTAACATTTTCCACAATTGAAAAAAATTGCCCAACACCATAAAAGGTAAGCTTGATCTATATATAGTGCATGTGATATTATGTATATAATCTCATAAGAGTCAGCAAGATCCAGAAGAGAAGGCCCTCCACTCATATTTCCCCTCAGAGACAATAATTTGGACAAAAAGTGACTTTGTGGAGCTTTAGTATCTAGGTAGGAGATTGTGAGACCCTCGTGGAGCCCAAGACTGTGGAGGGCTGTTTTGAGAAGACAGGCCTGTGCCCAGGTGGCCGACTTGCTGACAATAGTCCTGGCTACAGACCTGGAAACAGCCCTGTCCCCTGTGGACTCAGCTGCAGCCTCGTTTTGCCTTGGCCCTACACCAGCAACATCTTCCAAGGGACCCAGCTGGAGTCATGCCCACCTGTGTCCAATTAACAGGCCCACCAACCTCAACTCTGGCTGTGGATGCTGAAGTGGTCCGTGACACAGCACCAGCTCCTCTTAGCTGCAAGTCCTGCCTGCCCAGGGACAAGGCAGGAGACATGCCCATCCATGCCCCTGAGACAGGCCCCTCAACCTCTGTCCAACTGCAGACACTGGAACAGCTCTGTAACTAGGCTCCAGCACCTCACAGTCATGGGCCAGGAGCACTGCTGCTTGTCCAGGGGCCTGCGAGAGGACACATTCTTCTGTGCTTCCAGAGGTAGGCCCGCTGACCTCGGTCTGACTCTGGATCTTGAAGTGGCCCTGTAACCCAGCTCCTACCCCTTGAAGCCATGGGCTGGGAACCCTGCCCACCCAGGGACCTTGAGGAAGACAAGATCCCAGAGGTAGGCCTGCCAAACTTAATCAGACTGTAGATCTTGAAGTGGCCCTATAACCAATATCCAGCTTCAAAGAGACATCTCTGCAGTTTATTGGGACCAGCTCCAGGCATCCTTGACAGGATGTTAAAGCCTGAACCATGAAAAGTGCTCTCATGTCTGTTAACTCTCCCTGTTCAGAATGCCATTATACCCCACTCCTTTGGTCCTCATGAACCACTCCCACAATGTTCCTCTATAAACAGGAGGAACTTCCAGTTCCTGCCAGGGTATATTGGCTAGTGTATTAGTTTCCTATTGTTGATGTAACAACTTACCACAAATTTAGTGACTTACAACAGAGAAATTTATTCTCTCACAGTCCTGGAGGCCAAAAGTCCAAAATGAGTCCTCCAGGGTTTACTTCAAGATGTCAGCAGGGAAAGTTCTTTCTGGAGGCTCCAAGGGAGAATCCATTCCTTGTCATCTCCAGCTTCTAGTGGCTGCTGGCATTTCTTAGCTTGGGCCACATCACTCCAGTCTCTGTTTCCGTTGTCATATTGTCTTCTTTTCCTCTGTAATCAAAAATCTCTCTCGGGCCAGCCCCATGGTGTAGCAGTTAAGTGCACGCGCTCCACTGCTGGCAGCCTGGGTTCAGATCCCGGGCGCGCACCGATGCACAGCTTGTCAGGCCATGCTGTGGCAGTGTCCCATATAAAGTGGAGGAAGATCAGCATGGATGTTAGCTCAGGGTCAGTCTTCCTTAGCAAAAAGAGGAGGATTGGCATGGATGTT